AGACAAATTACACTCTGTATAACTCAAAAAGTTAAGATAACTCAAACCGTTTGAGAAAACTAATTGCAACAAACCATTTAAGTTCAGAAACTAATCCTAATGAGTACTGTGAACTTTGAATCTATTTGAGTAAATGAAGCAATTTGAGCACAGTAAAACCCAATAAATGAAGAGAACTCAAACTAACTGAGTACTGTACAACCCAATAAGTTAACGCAACTCAAACCGTTTGAGAAAACCGATTGCTACTGTACAAACCATTTGAGTAAACTAATCTATGAGTACAGTGAACTTACTCTATTTAAATTGAAGTAATGAGGTATTTAATTAACTCATTACCTTCAACACGAGACAACAAATGAGCAGAATTAACTTTCGGTCAATTTTAAGTTAAATACTCTTAATTTAATTTGATAAAGTTGACTGTTGGGTTTTACAGTGCACTCAAAAAATGACATTTGCTGTTTGTTCAAACTACTTATTTAAAATGAGCTGAAATAACACAATTCCTGAGTTTTTTGTGGGGGACAACTCAATATTTTTTTTGTTCAATCCACTTAAAATTGTATAAGTTAACCTAATTCCTTGATGTTGTCCCAACACAAATTGATTGTGTGGAAACCAGCATTTTACAGTGTACATGCACAAAATCTTGTTGATAATAAACACAACTTAACCATGTATGAATATGTTTATTATACAAATACTTTAGAAACCCAAACAATACTGTAATAAACGTGTTGTTCAATTTGATAAATACATTAACTAATGGACCATGTTTATTGATCATGAACAAACAACGAACAATACATTTAATACAGTATTTATTTACCTTTGTTAACATTAGTTAATGAAAATACAGTTGCTTATTATCAGTTCATGTTAACTCACATTGCATTAACTAATGTTATGCACAAATTAGAACATCAATAATTAACTATCATTAATAAATGCTTTGCAATTGTCACATACTACGACAAGTTAGTAACCACATTAACTACCATAAACTAATGGGCCATTGTTTTCATGTGTTACTAATAAATGTTTACTTGAGATTAAATTATATATATTTTTGTGTACATTACTGTTTTATGAAAACTAAATGTTCTACTGCAAATAACAATAATGTAAACGTGGTTATCCTGACTACAAGTGAATCATGGTTTTGCTATGATAGTTTAATTGTGGTATTTGTTATGGTTACACACTGTAAAAATGCAGGGTACCACACAATCTTTACTAATTTAAGTTGATTGAACATAAAAAAAATTAAGTTGGCCCAAAAAACTCAAGCACTGTGTTGTTTCAGATCATTTAAAATCATTTTAAACAAACTCTCAATTTACTGGTCTACTTTCCTACTCTCAACTATGGTCATAAGCTTTGGGTCATGACCGAAAGGACAAGATCTCGGATACACGCAGCTGAAATGAGTTTCCTTCACAGGGTTGCAGGGCACACCCTTAAGGGGATGCGGCGTGTAGCGATACGCAACGGCATGCATTTCAGAATTCTAAACATAGTGTTGCAGGCATGTCCCACCAGAAGGAGGCCTCAGGGAAGACCCATGCCGGAGGGACTATGTATCTCGGGTGGCCTGGGAATGCCTCGGGATCCTCCCAGAGGAGCTGGAGGAATTCTCTGCACTCTCAGAAATAAAGGTACGCGAGCTGTCACTAGGGTGGTACCTTTTCAAAAGGTACACATTTGCACTTAAAGGGTCAATATTGGTAGCTTAAAAAAAGTATATAGTACCAAAAATTTTTAAGAGGAACACTTTTGTACATTTTAGGTACTCATATGTACCCTTGAGGTATTAATTTGGACCCTTTATGTACCAGTGTGGTAACCCCAGAGTAATAGTGGGACTAAGCTGAACAAAAATGAATGAATGAATGAAAATTATGGTTAATTTTATTGTAAAGTGATATTAGGAACTGGATTTGTATGTGAATTCTTTTTCTTGTCCTCTGATGCTTTTATTGTTTTTTTTAAGTGTCTGAGTGCAGTTCACAGGGTGATTGTGTTTAACATCAAGGACTCATCATGAGGAATCTCATAACAACATGTTTGGGGCCTCACATTCACACAGCTCAGATGAAGACAAACACACACTCCAGCAGTGAGTCTATGTGCTCTCACACTCCTGAGAATCTCACACAGGGTCATGACCTGAAACCGTCTCCATTGGGTCACTTTTTTTTTTTTTTTAAAGTTAGTTTCTCCTTCACCCCCTCTCACTTGCCAAAGGTGTATGTTACCTCTACTGTAAATAAAAAACTCTGCAATACCAACCCAAACACAAAATAACACATTCACTGCATACATAGTGCTTAGCATATAAGTACACTCCCCACAAATCTCTCATTTAAATTAATATTTTCTATAGGAAGCTTCACAATATACTTGTGCATATACATTAGTTTAGTCGGTACTGAAGCCAAATCTGGAGCTAATCTAACAAAATGACTAACAAAAATGGTTCTAAAATTAGTAGCCTAAATGTATATGTTAGGGGAAAATATTAAATAACACTTTCAAAAATAGCAAAAATCAAGAGAAACAAAAAATATATACAATTTTGCAATTTTTTGCATGAATTTAAATGTGTTTAAATTAATTTCTAAAGACTAAAATATTATTTTGAAAAATACATATTTTTTTAATAAATCTGTTTTGTTTAAATACAGCAATATATATTGCACATATTTACTGAGGAATGGATAAAAATATTCATTTTCAAAATGGAGTTTAGCCAATTATGCTGAGCACTGTATATTGGGCTGTCAATCGATTAAAATATTTATTCAAATGACAACCATGAGTTAACTTGCTATTAATCACACATTAATTGCACATTTTATCAGTTTTAAATATACATTAAATTAATATAATGTTTAATTTTATAACTGCATAACTACATAAGGCACTTAAGTGCACACAAGAAGAAACTAAATAAAAATTCTTGCAGTACCGGGGCGAAAACAGAATACCAAACACGTTTCTTCTGTGTGTTTTTTTTTTTACTATTTGTACTTTTCATTCAAAATTTCCAAGAGGTGCTGCATTCTTTACTGGCTACATATTTTTATTTTAACTACTGGATAAGGCAAGGGCCTAACAAGAAATGTGCTGCATTAATCGCACATTGATAAAATTATCACTGTTAAAATGGATATATACAGTTGAAGTCAGAATTATTAGCCCCCTTTTGATTTTTTTTCTTTTTTTAAATATTTCCTAAATTATGTTTGACAGAGCAAGGAAATTTTCATAGTATGTCTGATAATATTTTTTCTTCTAGAAAAAGTCTTATTTGTTTTATTTTGGCTAGAATAAAAGCAGTTTTGAATTTTTAAAAAACTATTTTTGGGACAAAATTATTAGCCCCTTTTTAGCTATTTTAGCTATTTTTTTCGATAGTCTACAGAACAAACCATCGTTATACAACTTGCCTAATTGTGTCTTGAAAAATATCTAGTAAAATATTATTTACTGTCATCATGGCAAAGATAAAATAAATCAGTTATTAGAAATGAGTTATTAAAACTATTATGCTTAGAAATGTGCTGAAACAATCTTGCCTCCATTAAACAGAAATTGGGGAAAAAAAAATAAACAGGGGCGCTAATAATTCAGGGGGGCTAATAATTCTGACTTCAACTGTATATATATGTGTGTGTGTATATATATGTATATATATATATATATATATATATATATATATATATATATATATACATATATATATATATATATATATATCTCAAAACCTATATCTCCTATCTCCATATCTATATACCTATATCTCTTAGCAGGGTAGCAAAGAAGTAAACAAAAATAGGAAAAACAAAGTTAAAAGACAATCCCATGAAGCCACGCAAATACCCTAGTCAAATAAAAAATGACTCAATAAAACTGTGTAGTTAGAATCGTTGATTATATATTTACAGTTTGTTGAAAATATGCTTGATTACATTGAGAGCATAGACAAACTTAAATACGTCATTCATTGAACTTTATAGAAGTGGGAGGGGCTAGTTATCTTTTGTTGTCCCTTTTTTCTCGCTGCAGTTCTCTGATTGGTTGGACTTTCTGTACAGTATTGTGGGTAATGTCATTTTTTTTGCATAAATATGTCTACTTGATGTTGATGCGAACAAATTAAACAGGTTGAACAAAACCTCAGAGCTCAAGAGTTGTCAGAGAAAATGAGTTTTTACATATGGAATCTGTAACCTGATTGTTGTGCTCTTTTTTCCCTAGGTGACAAAGAAAATTCACTAAATTTAATGATAAACGTTTTATTTAATAACTAAAACACAATACCAAAGTTGGGAAATAATAAACTGTCAAAATTAAGTCATTTGTGATTTGGAAACAAGGTTATTCCCGTCCACTTTCAACTTACTGCATTCCCAAATTTCAGTACATGCGCAAAAGGGACGACAGTTTCCCCTCTCCAGTTCTCATCAGGCTGCGAATGTACCAACTGTACTACGGCGAAGGCTTGGATTATAAATATTAATCAAGTTACTTGACGTTTTCCTGAAACGGCCAAAAGGATTGGCTGCAATTCAAAGAAAGGCGCTAGACTCCTTGCGAATCATCATGCAGATTGATTGCTCATGAATATTAAATTGTCCAAACGACTAGACGCTCCAGGAGGGTTACTAAGCAACGCTTACAGAGCCTCATTAATATTCATTATTGTAATTTAGTATCGTGATTCGTCGTTTCTCGGGAAAGGTATGTTGAGCAGCCGTGGACACTACCAACGTCAGCTGCAGAGGGGTGGTCTTTCGGACACGCTTGGTTAAATGTAAACACATCGACCGCACAAAGATAGCACAGCCGCTCCGTTGCTTTTAAAAATTTGGGGAAAGAGGCGCCTTGTAGCAGACGGGTTTCCGGCCGATTCCTTTGGTGTTTGTCACCCCTCCTACACACGTTTGGGAAATTCCCTCCACATGTATAGTGGTTTGTGAGTGTTGGGGAGCCCGATGGGGTTGAGTTCGCAGCTCTGGATTATGCGCTAGACTGCCGAGAGTTACATGGATGAAAGTGTGATTGGGAATACTTTGGGAATACGCGGAATTAACGCCTCGGAGAGGGTGAGTTTTGTTCTTTTAACTTTTTTGTATCGTTTGTGTGGTGGTCAGTGTTTAGGGAGGATTTAGTGTCCTTGTATTTTCCAAATAACTTATTCTACGTGGCAACGCTGGCCCGCAGAATCCCATATACACACGCGCGCGCACTGGACGCGACGGAGCTTGACCAAAACATTGTGCATTTTCTGCCTTGCAGATTTAAAATGGAAACGATTGTTTGCACCAAAATCCAGTGGACACTTTTAATTTTACTATAGTAAAACCGCGGCAACTTCCCAATGCCTTCAAATAAAAAAATGGCACAGTTCTGAAAGTTTCTTACATTGTTCCAAGGTGATTTTTAACCCTGATCATGGTATTATAGTGAAACCTTTAGTTACCAGTCATTTTTGTTGAGTTAAATTTTACTATAGTAAAACCGTGGCGACTTACTATTGGCTTCATATAAAAAGAAACAATGACACGCTTCTGAAAGTTTCTTACATTGTTCAAAGATAGTATTTCACCCAGATAATGTTATTTTAGTTGAACCTTTAGTTAACCACCAGTCATTTTTGTAAGGAGTTTTCCAATGATTTTCTTAAAACAAGTTCTAGACCTTTATATGACATGCTGGTTATTTTTGGAGCAATGTGTTGATCCTTGGGTTGTTTTATAGCACCCATTCAGCCCAATGACCCACATAACATTGGGGTTATATGGGGTTTGTCCAAATTAAGGTTTGCTGTAATAGGATCCTTTGGATGTCTCTCAAAATGTGATGTGCTGCCCACCTAGACATTATTTTGGAGCATCAGATAGAAACCTTATTCTGTAAATGTTTATGAAGCGCCAAAATCACTGATAATATACATAAAGTTAATTTATTTCGAAATATAGATATGTATAATGTAATTAATAATCATTAGTGCAATACACATGATATCAATAATGAATATTGAACTAATTGTGAGCAAAACATACTTTTTAAAAAGAAATTCCATAAACATCTTTAAGTCATTCATGACATTGTTAAATACACTCATTGTTAAACATGATATTAAATTTGTGTGATTGGTGTAGTTTTTAAAGTGCAAATAATTTATATTGCTCCATTGTGTTAAATAAATGGGATGTTTGCTGAAAACAATTACTTGGATTGATTTCGCAATTGCTGTGTCATGTATAACAGAATGATCCCAAACATGCAGGAAGTGATGTCATTCTCAACAGAACATGCAGGTTAATTGTACCACACAAATCGGAAAAGATTCATTCTTATTTTCTGTCTCTCCTTGTCTCTTCTGGATTCAGGAATGATCACAATTTCCTCTTTGCGGTCAGGGCGGGTTTAATATTAGCCTAGTGCAACTCTAAACCACCCGGTGTTTAAGGGTCTCACATTTATCCTCTCTTATGTTAGAGTGATTTTCTCTAAGCGCTCAAATTCTTTAATGCGTTTGCCAGATTGATGGGTTTGTAAGGGTAAAGTGTAGATTTCTGAAATGTTCCACTAGGGGGATTGCTTCTGTTGGCCCCAACAATAACCTTTAAGAGATTTAAATTCATTTTAGGTTTGTTAAAGTTATTGATCAGTTGTATACCATGACCCATAGTTTACTTCTTTGACAACCTAAAACCTGGATGAAAACTCTAATGCTAGTTAAACATTTTGTGTCTCAGTGTTTGTGATTTTGCCCAGATTTGGATTCCATCTTTCCAGTCATACGTGTCGAATCCACTCCGTCATTTGAGACTCGTCAGTGTGTTTACTTGGATGCGGGTTTGCCTGAGTCGGCCTGTAGTCACATCCTGTGTGTGTTCACATGTCGTGCCCTGAAGAATTTTACCAGGCATAGTGTTACATATTTGCTTTTTGTGTTTTTGTTTGTGGCGGTTTGGTACCAGGAAGCATTTTCTGCTCTCCATTTGTTTCCTTTCTATTTTCTTTTTTTAACCTCGGGATGTTTTCTCTGCCCTTCATTTGTGTGCGTTTTAATGTGCGCGTGTGTTTGTGGTTGTGTTCCTTTAGTCTTATTTGCCTTGAAGGCAGCTAGAATAGATGTTCAAAAAAAGATTTCTCCCGAGAGAGTAAAGATTCCACTGCCATCTCTGGTGTAACGTGTGTGTGTGTGTGTGTGTTTGCAAAATGCCGTGATTAAGCGATTCTGGAGAAAATGGCTCTTCTGCTTATGTTTTTCTGTCTTTTTAAATGTTAAATGATTATGCAAGTTGAATCTGATAGGGACATTGAAATTGTGCTCTTGAGAAATATACTTAGTCTAGGTATTGCTGAAATATTGTGTCATAACCATTTCCCATTAAATATAGATAAAAATTTGTGCACATTTTCTATCTTAAAAAGTATTAAAATTAGGGCTGGGCGATATGGCGAAAATGAAATCTGGATAATTATTTTTCATATTAAGCAAAAATGAAATGTATTTCAATACAAGTTGTTAATGCTTCTAGATTTAAAAGTACCCCAGCATTGACTGAAGCCACAAAAATTAGAGGGTCCATTAAATGGCATAACATATTTTCGGCTGATAAATTTCACATCTCTAATATGATGAAGAGCCTTTATTTGTCACAATACTGTTATTTACATTGAAATTGAATCCCTCCAACCATACACAAACATCACACATTTCAGGGGAAGGCTGGTCAGTCAAGAAGTAGCATAAAAAATTGGAAATTATTAGATGCATTGGGGAAAAAATGAGGTGAAAAAAGCCTTTTCCAGACTATACTTAAAGTAGGGCAATATCAACACACTTTTAGATTCTCATTGTTGCACATTTCTGCTATGTGATTGGTTCTTAGATCAATATAGAGTAAAAAATCCAAAAGCTTATCATTGTTATTGATATCAATTTTATCGTGATTCGATATAATATGGTTTATTGGCCCAGCCCTAATTAATGCACAATCAGTGTGTCTCATATTGAAGCTTGTTGATATATTCAAGAGATACAAGGATGGTCTTTTATCTGGAAAGTGCAGATCATTGGACAGTCTGAAGTCGAATATTGTGCATTATAACTCATTGGACATTGGCTGTGAATACAGTCAGTGTCAAATATTTTCTACAGTCTAAAAATAGTTTTTTTTTGTCAAATTGTCACTGTCACAAGTAGAATGTGCTAAAGTACGTTTAACTATTTATCCTTGTTTAAAACTGAATTTATCTTCTTGACAAACTATATATAATTTGCAATACGGCTGCACAATATATTGTTTTAGCATCGATATTGCAATGTTTGTGACCACAATAGTCGCATAGCAGGATATGCAATGTTAAGTTGGGATTGCAGTCGATCAACAATTGAGAATACTTGAGATTTGTGGAATCTTTGCTACGTATAACCATAAAAGAGTGAAACTTTATCGTTTGCATGTGTTTTAAAGACATTTCAAGAGAGTGTAAAGCATTCAGGCACAGCAACATAACACATTTGTAATTTTAATAGGAATTTTACTGATTTATATTAATACAATAAAGACTATACAGTGTTATTTTACATTACATTATTAAACTTCTGTATCTGAATGCTCTTTGACTTTCTGGAAAACTATGAATAACATTTTATTTTACTCTTTTATTTATTTCTCTTTGCTCTATCGTATTTATTCTTGCAATTTAATTTTTTTATACATAATTCACACTTTTACAAAATCAACCAAACCAATCTAAATTAATGATTTTTTTTTCTGAAGTAGAGCTATTCAAGCCATCTGGTTGCAATGTATATTGCAGCAAAACTTAATATTGCAATGTCATATTTTTCCAATATTGTGCAGCCCTAATTTGCATATATAGGTTTTCAAATGTGAACTCAACCAATGGGGTGAGGGGTTTAGTTTCAAAACAATGAAAGCGTAATACGGATTATTGTTATTCCCCATCCATTCATTAGAGTAGATGTCCTGTTTGCATTTTTTTACTGATCAAAACCAATCCTTACTATGAATCAGAGACGACTCCTAAATGTTTAGTCTAGGAATAGTTTCCTAAAAAGTTTAGTTCCTAAAAAATCTTGACAGGGATATTTATAACAACAATCATTAGACATCAACAGACTCTATTTAAAGATCACAGCAAAGCCATAAAATGAGAACACTTTTCTCTTTGCCACCATTATTCAGGTTTTTACCTACTGTATTTGTCAGAAAGACTTTTATAATCATTTAAATATAATTCAACACTCACGTTTATGCATTATAATAAGTCAGATCAGAAAAAGCATGTCATGTACCTGTTATGTTGAATGATGATGGAACATTATTTGACCTATATTTTAACATTTTATTTTTCACCAAAGCTGTTTAAAACATTACACAGTCCTTTTCTACACTGTAAAACCCAATAAGTTAAGGTAACTCAAACTATTTGAGGAAACCGACTTACTCCATTTAAGTTGAAGTAATGAGCTATTTAATTAACTAATTAACTCATAACTAGAGCTAGAGTGATATCACTAGAGTTCAAAACTCTTTTCAAATGAGTAGAATTAACTCTTTCAATTTTAAGTTAACTACACTCATTTCATTTGATAAAGTTGACTGTTCGATTTTACAGTGTATTTAAGATGTCCTAATTGTTCTAAGTACTAAATTGGTTGCTTTGTCGTTGACCAACTACAAAAAAGTGTTAAACGGCTATGAATATTGCAAATGTGTTGTACTGATGGGTAAATTAAAGTGATTTACAAAAAATGAATCGATGATAGGGCAGTTTAAATAATGACAGGATGCTTGACCAGACAAGTGGTTTGTTAAAGGTTCAATTATGATGGTTGTTAGACTAAAAATTTGCCTACTCTTGCTACACACTTAAAAGTATGTTGTTTTTGTACTTCATAAACAGTTCAGACTTTTTAGAGCATAGCATATGTAGGCAAATTAGGGTGCATCATCTTTATGAACAACATGCAATGTGATTTGAAGGAAGTGTCTTCTCATCTAATTTTTTACCATTTAAAAGAAAGCATGCACTCTAATTGGCTGTCTCAGTGGCAGTG